GTCACTCCCCAATTAAAGCTCAGCTCTAAAAACTGAGTGAGTGTCCCCTTCCAGGATATCACGCAATCAATGTACTGAAAGCGAATAATTTCATTCTTCTAGGACTGCTCGAATGCCTCCAGTTGCTGCACATCTTTGCAACTTCTGATCGATCTTGCTGCTGTGTTTGCCGTTTGATTAACAGTCTTCACAGTGATTAGCTAAAATGCAGCTTACTTAGTAGTAGTTTGCTTCTTGTAGGACTCTGACCAGCTTTGTTAAAGGCCACGAATAAACGTGCCTGTTTCAGTAACTCATATATTTAAGGGATCGAAGGGTATCCTGAGAAACCACAAATCGACAAAGGCTGACCTGGTCGCCTCTGAACATTGAACCACAACATTCCCTCAACCAAAATGAAAGTAGGTAGGCACGCAGGCCTCCCATGAAACGCAGGGACGAGGAGAGGAGGTCAACGTAGAGCACCTTCTTTGCTACTCTCCAGCACTTAACCTGCTCGGGCTCATTGCTTTAAGGCGATCCTGCCTAAATAAGTTCACAGATATATTAAACAGGGAGTTCATAACAATAATCATCTCCAGGCCTAAGTGTATTTGCGTGAACCAACCATTTCAACCTAATCTAACATACTATATATTCTATATGTCGTAAGCTAAGAATTTACGAATTTTTGTACTTCCCTCTGCTTCGTTGTATAATTTATTACGTCTTTTATAATTGAAATAAAAATCTATGAAGTTAATTTGAGAATTAATTAGTTACATAATTCAATTACTTTATGCTTTGTCTCCATTACTATAATGCCTAGAACTTGTTTCTGATCGTGTTTATTAATTCATCGGATCAGAAATTTGTCAATCCTACTTACCTGCCCTTATATTGTAATTAATTGTATTCATTTATATGATTTATGATATTATTACAAAATATTGAGGACAAGAGTAAAAAATTCCACTGCAATAAAAGATCTGTAATGCTCTCTGCGTTCTATTTGCTAGCAATGTGTGTCGATTTAGTGTGGAAAAAGTTCGTAAATTTCAGGCAAAAGTAATCATGTTATTTTTTTAACAAACTATTTTTTAATTTTTTTCATAGAGATTTAAATCAACTGCCATACAATAACCGGCCGGTGATGAACCGTCATAGACTGGACAGGCTCCAGCCCGACTGAAAAGAAGACAGTCGCCGATTTGCTCATTCAAGCATTTCTCTTTATTTTCCTTAAATATTTCTGTTAGTTTTCTATATAATAAATGTACTTGAATAATGAAGAATACAAGTAGATATTGATATTATGAATACAAATAAAAACAAAAGCATTCTTTTGAATAAAAAATTCGTACAAAAGTAAACAGCACATTAGGTTTGGATGCAATTTTTATAAAAATACAACGAGTGATCAGATTTGGTGGAAAAGAGAATTTGTAATTTGCTTGGAATGGGGTCTAGAGATGATGAGAAGAAGAAAACTATTAGCCGGGCAAATAAAATATTTAACTATGGTTCTATATTGATGGTGCAGGACTGATTAGGCCGACTAAATAATTAAATAACATTGTAAATTGTATTACAGTTTTGTTTTTTTTTCTTAAACAGCAGCATAAATACAGCATTGCCGGGATAGTTGCCTACCTAAGTGCGCGCGACCTACTTGCCATCGTCATCTTTTTCCCTTTTTATTGCTGCTCCATACAATACAAGTACGTTTTAAAAGCTGAAAAGTTGTTGTGTTGTCGTCGCCAAGTTAACAACTTGGTGGGCGCGCAATGTTTTAATTAAATTTAAAGTTCACGAGCCGGTATTTAAAGAAAAGTTTACCCTCAGTCGGCTAAATTATGCAAATATGTATAATGATTATGCATGGTTATATGATATGTGTTGTTGAATAAAAGCCCCACTACATACCACACACATATTTGCGGGTGCATGTAATCTCTATACTTGTATATATAAAATAGTTTGTCCTGACTGACTGACTCACTGACTGATTGGCAATCAACGCACAGCTCGAACGGTGACAGCTAGGAACCTGAAACTTGGACACAACACTTTAATTTATCAGAAATTTCACAATTTAAATGCACAAATTTATTATTTAATTTTTTAGAAACTTTGCAATTTTTTTATCGATTTGTCAGCGCTTAGGTATGATAATTGCAGAGAAGGGCGTTCACAGTATTTTTATTTAATTTATCAGAAATTTCCCATTTTACATCCATAAATTTATTATTTAATTCTTCAGAAATTTCAGCATTTAATTCTCGATTTGCGTGCGCTTAGTTACTTGGTATGAGAATCACAGAGGAGGGCACCCACAATATTTTTATTTTATTTTTCAGAAATTGCTCAATTTGATTCCACAAATTTATTATTTAAGTTGTAGAAATTTCAGAGAGAATCGCAGAGGAGGGCGCCCACAATATTTTTATTTTATTTTTCAGAAATTTCAGAATTTAATTTCAAAATATTGGAATTTTTATTTTTCAGAAATGTACATACATTATTGTATGTATGCATGTACATTTCTGAAAAATAAAAATTCCAATATTTTGAAATTAAATTCTATCATACATGATATATGTAAATGAGCACATATTCACTTCATTTATGGCTCACTTAATCATCATTTAGGTTAATCAGGCTCGTATTACTCGCTGTACCGTGCACAACAAATTCACGATGCACCGAACATTTTGTAATGCATAGCTATTTGAATAATTTACGCATTCAACTCCAATGCCATTTGCGCTGCATTTTTTACGTTCGCACTACCTGCAATGGGAAGGCATTTCCGGATGAGTGGCATATGAATCGGGTGACCAGTTCAGCTTACAATTTCAAAAATGAAAGATATATCGTATTTGAGATGGAAACTTGATATGCCATCTCGAAAAATCCAATAAACAAAATTTTGAAATAAATACTCACTATGCTGCAATGAAAGGGAAACAAACACTCGCTTTAATCCGCCGATCCCCAGACCGCCGCTCATTGAACCTTCAAACTGAAGAGTTAAGCGCCGTGTCGATCAATATTCAATATTCAACATTTTTACTATTATTTAGCTATTCAGCAATATAGTACGTCTTGTTTGCCCAAATATATGAAGACCACTTTGAAAATAAAAACATATGCAAATGTCGTTGCTGAGTTATATTTCTAAATGCAGCTGTTGTGGAACTGTTAACGAATTATGGTGTTCCTTTCCATTGTTGGTCACCCGAAAGAAGAGTTGTACATGCGTTAAAATTAGCACTCACCCTGCCAATATTTTCACGAGCCTACTATTTAAATCACATTCAAGGTGTAGTGAATTGGTTTAATTTGTAAGTTGCCTTCAGCCTTATTATGGCAATTACTTTTCAATTACAAATATTACGCAGCAGCATCAAAATTCAAGATGTACTTTGTTTGCTGGCCAATTCTGTTTCTGTTTCAAACACGATCGTTTTAGTGAAGTTCTAAAAATTATAAAAATTATAATTATATCGTAGTTCCAGACAAAACAAAGGGGTAATAAAAATAAGTATTTAAATAGACCTATAAATTAAATTTGATTTGCAGGCAACAGTTACATGTATAACAATAGACCATCATCATTTGTATTATCCCCACCTACTCGAATAGTCGAAAGAATATACAACAATATAAGAACAAATGTATCTCATAATTTCCTTATTTGAAGACGAGATTTTCTTTTTCAATGACAGTCTGAGTTTCTCTTTCAGATACAAGTATATTGGTTTTAATTATTGTATCGGTATGGTGAAACAGATTTGTCTGTATTTCTTAAGCTACCTAACTGAATGATAGCTGCTTCATCTTTCGTAGGCATCCTTTAACTATACCATTTTGTAAAATATAGTTGCTGTTCTTCGCGGCTAGAGGACAAACATTAATTTCAAAAAGTGCTGGGAATGCTGTTTATATCTTTACACATGTATATACAAACTTTTTCTTTTCTTCTGTATATTTCTGAACTTTCGATATTGTTGCTCTCTATTCTATTTATTTATTTATATTTATTTTGGAGCATGTGGCATAAACTTATGGGCATAGTTCGATATGGCCTGTCATACAACAGTCATATGCATGCTTGCAATACAATACAATACAATACAATACAATATAAATGCATTAATGTATGTACATGTGTAATAATGCATTGTCATCTGATTAAGTATACGCAATGTGTGCAGTGACAAAAGCGAACAGCTTGAACTTCAATTAAACTTCGTAATTGCCAAAATAATGGTAATTATGCGTATGAAACAGCCAAACAGATGGACAGACAGGCAAGCGGGCAGGCGGGCAGACGGGCAGGGAGGCGACAGGGAGGCGGGCAGGCGGACCAAAGCCAAGTAAGCTGCAGTAGATTTACAATAGTAGTTGTTGTTGTTGATGTTGCTGTTACTGCTGGTGTTGTATTGTTGTCATTAATGCGAGTGTTGGCACTTTCGCACTCAGTCGACTGTCCTCAGACGGCGGCAGTCCTTAGTCGACAGTCGACAGTCGCAGTCGCAGTCGCAGTCGGCTGGCCATTGTGTAAAAGTTTGCTGGTAAACACATTCATAAAGCAAATATGCAAACATGTCGACTGCACACCGATACAGCAACACTTAACTATACACACACACACACACACACACACACACATACACACACCCACCCATCCATACAGACACAGTGTAGTGTGTGACATATGCTAAGCGCCACACTCACTGGCAACTAATTTGGGCATAAGCGTCGTTGCCTAGTCAAAAAGGAACGTCGCCAGTTTCCAGTTGCCAGTTGCCAGTTGCCATTTGCCGGTCGCCAGCCGAACGCCTCGGCGCTCGTGCCGAACCCCGAGCGGCGATGGAGGCGAGCCGAAGGCAATAAGGACGCCAGCCTGATGCTATATAAATGGCGATGCCGCATGCGGTGCTGTCAGCATTCTACGTTCGTCAGGCGTAGGGCGCGCAACTCTCGAAAGTCCGCGATTTCGGGTCACTCTGAATACTCTACACACACAGTTCACAGTTTCTAGAGCTGAACTGAGCAGCTGTTGTTGCTGTTCTTGTCACAAAGTCGGCGACGCGACGTCGTGAAAAGCGCGCGCAAAAACAAAAAATAATAATAATAAAAAAAATCAGAAAGCAGGCTAACGGTAAAGAGCACTGAGAAACGCGCGCGTTGTTTACTTTGTTATTACAAATCCGCTGTGCTTTCTTCTCCAAACTTTTCGCCTCTTTCTACTACCAACAACGTCTGTTTTTTGCTGTTTTTTTTTTGTTTGTTTTTTGGCAGTTTGGTTTGTTTGTTTGTGCAAGTGGTTCTTCTTTTTTTTGCCGCTGTCGTGCAAAACAAAATTGTAACAGAAATTGAAAAAGCAGAAGGAAGAAGAAGGAAACAACAAAAAGAAAAAAAGGAGGAAACGGAAAGTGTTGCATTTCCGTGTCGCTGGCATTGTCGGTCGATGGGTTGGTTGCTCGGAAATTCCACCTTCGCAGCTTGCAGATTGTTGATTTCTGACCATGTTATTTGTCATTGTGGTTGTTGCTCTTGATGTTGCTGCTGCTTTATTTCTGGTGCTACTTTTTTTTTATGGCCAGCCAGCCAGCCAGCCAGCCAGCCAGGCACCCAGCGTGAATGCCACCTAAAGTCGGTGGCACACATAATCAAATTCATGTGTTTGGCCATAAAATTGTGCCGTGCATGGCAATTTAAATACCTAAATTTAACTGTGTGTGTGCGTGTGTGTCATTTGTGGCAAACATAAAACGACTCAATTGTGTCAAATTCAAATGAATTATACGCGCAATCTGCCAAAATTATCAAATGCGCGTTCAAAAGCAGGCAACGGATTTTTTCACTTCTCCTATCCTTAAAAATATGTATTTCAATTTGAATTTAAAATTGTGTCTCTTGTCTCTGCACATTACCACCATTCAATGAAATGGCATTTACAAACAAAATCCTCTCACTTAAGTGCAATAATAGACAAAACAAAAAAAAAAAAAAACAAATAAAACTCATGGAAATTGTATTCACATTTTGTTGGCTTGTTGCCGCAAAACAAAGAGAAAAAGTTGCTAAGTTTCAAAAAATTTAAGTACTTTGTGAAGTATTTCATTTTTTTCGTGTGTGTGTTTGTGTGTGTGTGAATTTGTTTAATTCTGTTTTTGTTGTTTTTTGGTTTTCTGTTTTTTGTTTCTGTGCTGGCGCGCCAGACCAACTTGGTATAAAGCGTTTAAAAGTGTATTTTAATTTGCTTTCAATTTCGCCTCAAGGCAGCCAAACACGACAGGCAGCCGGCGCGGTCTCGGACTCCTGATGCAGGGGGGTGGGGGAGGGGGAGGAGGAGGAGGAGAGGACTGGTGCAGGGGTGTCAAGACTAGGGCATTTGTTTTGCAGACAAAACTCTTTTCGTTGGCATACACTGCTGCGGCAATTGTAACTTGCGCATGGATTGAAGCGACGGCGCAAGTTGGCAAAAGTGTGAGACAAGAATGGCAAGAAGGGAGCGTTGGTGTTTGTGGGAACGACTAGCACAACATCTGGGGCTGACAATGGGCGCACTTAGGGGAATATAAGGTACTAAAGCTGCAATGTGCTAGATTCATAAATTAACCGAGTCTCCATTGTGGCAAATTAACGGAGAGATTCATTGAAAAAAAAAAAAACAAAAATGGTTCATTGCATTGCACACAAAAAGCCCGACTAAGCGAAATCATCGAAGGAGATATAGAAAACTGCAATTCATATTTACATATCTACCAGGAGCAGGAAACTCACAAGTCTCTCATAAAATCATGCAAAACCAATGCTGGCATTCATTATTTGTAGATAATTAGCCCATTTTTGAGTTCAGGCTCAAAAATGCAGCCTAAGCAAACGGAATTGAATTGAAAGTGGAGGAGCGTAAGGAAATATGCATACTTATAGTTTCGTGGGGAAAAATATTAAACTAATTCGGTGTAATGGAAATTCACAAAATGCCTAGGCTAGACTTCAAATTTGAAGCAAATAATGCACTTAAATAGTCGCATAACCAAGCATTTATGCAATGACGCAGCTATGAAATGAAAGACATTTAAGGATATAACTTAATATAATTGGATATTAAATATTTATACAAAACTAATGGACTTATTAATAAGAAAGCTGGAGAGGGATATAAATTATAGAGGGGAGTAACTAAACGGTGACTGAATCGAACATTTCAGAAGCAACGGATTACTTGATGTTGAAAAGAGAATCACGATAGCTTAAATAGACAAACAGATGCCCTTGTTTTAAATACATATATGACAGTACTTATATAAAAATTAAAAAAAATGAAATTTGATTTATGATAACAAAAGTAAAGACGAACTGTAGGGCCCAGACGTGGGGATAATTTAATTTTTATTTTTTTTTTTATATATTTAAGTAATCGGCTTGGGGTACTAATTGGGGATACTGAGCTTATTATAATATTCTTTCTATCATAAGCAATAATGAATCAAAATATTAATTGAACTTTATTGAGTTAGGAGTTTTGTACATTCAATTAAATAAATGATTTAAGAGTTAATTACAAGTATTTCATGAGATTTGTCCGTTTTGCACTTGCCACAAAAGCCACTTTATTCACATTTCGCTTTCATCGAATTATTTTCTTTGGAACTTTGTTGTCCTTGCACTTGGTACGCCAGGCAATTGTTTAATTTCTCATTGTTCGCAATTTGGACTTTTGAAGTTTCGATTGACTGTCAAAGCTGTCTTCCACTTCGCAGCATTCTCATTGTGCATCAGCATCAGCATTTCTTTTCATACAGCTACGCAAAAATAATAGCTGTGTTTTATGATTTGTTTTTAAAGCATTTTTAATTTAAGCTCTTAGCTTTGATTGGCAAAGTGACGCAATTCTTAGCATCATTTCACCATTCAATAGTGTTTATACAGATTTGAGGCTTTGATTGATTCCTTGTAGACCTCGGTTACTATTCATAACAGATTCAGATTCGGCTTGTAGGAACTTACACGCCCCATTTATACTGAACTGCAGTCGAAGTGAGTGATTGAGTCTTGAAAAGAAGATTAAAATATATTGCTTGCATGTCATTTGATTGAAACCCATTATAGATCGACATCTTTCCCCGTGCAGCCTTCCATTCTCAGCATGGCTGTGTGCGGCTGCAGTTTATCCATCCATCAGTAGGAAAAGTTGCGCTGACTGACATCGTTTGGGCAGCTGTTAATGCAGAGCTCTTGTACTTGTACTTGCACTTCCACTTGCACTTCCACTTGCACTTCCACTTGCATTGGCTGTGGCAGTTTCAGTTGCTTGCAAAGAGCCATAAAAATGACTTGGCCAAAGAGACGATGGCACGTTGAAAACTTTTCAAATAAGTTAAAAGATACTGCCATGTGCTCGTCGTTCGATGGTGAACCCAAAATGAAAGTCGTGTGCGTGCCAAGTGGAAAATATCATGTTGTCGAGTTGCCGGTGGCACGTAGCCGTGCCCCCAAAAAGCGTGCTACACAAAATATTATCGTGTTGTGTGTACTTTTTTCATGCAACACCGCCGATTCGCCCCTTGGGGACATTTGCGACGGCGCAACGGGCAATAAAACTTTGATGATTTGCAAAAAGGATAACAGCAAGAACAGCAACATCAACACCAACAACAACAGCAACAGCAATAACAGCAACGCAATGCAAAGTACCTATTTATTATGATATTTATGTATGACATGTGCAAAATGAAAAGGCAGCATATTTTCATTTCAAATCAATTAAAATTGTTGAATATTTCATTCGACTTTTAGCTAAAAACACACATACATACTACTAGCTTAGTTTTCAATACAAATTCCCCCCGTGTCGGAATTCCTCCCTTCAGATGTCGCTTTGTTGTTTAGACTTTTGAGTGCGCACGTTACTGATGATTTCATTTTACTTAAACATCGTTCAAAATGTTTCAATAGTTGACGGAAGCAGAAGCAGCGCCAAAAACAGCAACAACAACAACAACAACAACAACAGCTACAATTACAATAACAATTACAATAACAATTCGTGCTAATACGAACAAAAGCATTGTGAATTGCCAGCTCGTTGATTCAAATCATCAAATACTCGGAAATCAGCATTTTGCAACGGCCTGCAAAATGTTGCTGCATTTGAATGGAAAGCGGCAGCTACAACAATTACAGCAGCAGCAGCAGCAGCAACAGCAACAGCGACAAAAGCAGCAACAACTACAACAAATTTGCCATCATGTTAGCATTGCAAGGAAGAAGAAGTGGCAGCAGGAGCAGGACCAGCAGCAGCAGCAGCAGCAGCAGCAGCAATCACAGTCACGACAGCAACAAAAACAGACTCCATCGTCGGCGCAGATGCTGCCACTGATGCTGCTGCTGATGTTGACGCTGCTGACGCGGCCGTTGAGCGCGTTTTCGAATCGTAAGTACCTACAAAATACAAATGCATAGATATATCTAGTACGTGGGCATTGTAAGATAAATGTACGCTGTTGTACATATGTGTCTGTGTGTAGAATGGGAATAACGTATACGCCTTGTTGTACACTCAGCGAAAAAGGCATTGCAGCTCAGTGTATAGCTCGATGCTGCGCCCAAATATCCAATTATGAGAATATTTTTTGAAGAGCCTTTAGGCAAATCTCTCTCTTAAGTCGGCTAAATCGAATATTATATAAATATTATAAATAATATTAAAGAGATCATATGTACGTATGTACTTAAATGCATTTAAATTTAGTTCATTTTTCTAAAGGCATCGAAAATCCGACTCATGCACAACTTTTGGGTACTTTTTTCGCTGATATAGAACCTCAAATGCTAAGTAATTTGTTCTAGGGAAAATCCATGAAAATTCATGATGCAAAGGTTTCAGAATGATCTTAGGAAACTAAGCTATATTTGGGAATATCTTTATGTTGAGTGCATCTTGTGGTGACGAATTTTGTGAAGTTCCTGCTAATACTTATTAAAATGTTCGTATAAGTCGTACACCTTATAAATATGATTTATAAAATATGCAGTAAAAACAATTGAAAAAATTGTTGCAATTTGCAATTATTTAAGCCACCAACGAATTAAAAAAAGAGTATATTAGACTATTGGTAAGTCCTTTAAATAGACATCATCATAAACTCTCTTTAACTAGCTATAAATTAGTCAACTGCTTCGAAGCCAAACGGTAGAAAGTTGTTTTTCAAACATAAACTGTGATTAATAAAAAGAAGAGATCAGTGGTCGTTCAATTTTGGATACAGGAATGCGGGGCTTAGCAAATCAGTTATTGGGGCCTCTTGGTATTAGTATTGGAAGGAACAATCAGACTTGGAAAGGGTTGGCAGGTGTGGTTGAGATTTCCCGCTCTGTAGATAACCAGAACGAAAAGATATTTAAAAAATAAGAATTCGGTAATGATAGGGATGGCAGCTATTCCAGATTTTTCCGATTCCCAGATTCTCGATCCTTGGTAGGAAAACACTGAATTCTCCTTTTTACGTTATGAGGCTCCCTTCTGACATACAGAATGTATTAGACACTCTTGCCTTAAATAAATTAAAAAGTGTAAGGTTAAAAACAAAGTAAGAATACTTTCAAAGAAATGTTCACATCGAAATGTAAAAAATTATTGGCAAAATAGCTCAGAAAAGATGAACACCTGCGTGGAGCTCCATAAACAAAAGTAATTGATTTAATTGTGTGATGCTATGGATTCGATTCGGAATCTTTTCCTACAATATGCAATTAACAGCAGAGTCTAATAAAGGAGCACACAGCTACTTTCATAAAAATAAGCGCGAATGGCAAGATACTGATTATTAATGAAAATAAACGAATCTTGGTAAACAAATCAGATGGGTATATTAATGATTAGAAGGCAGCTAAGATGACTGCTAATTATGTCAAAAAAAAGGAAGCAAAAGGCAATGTGGAGCTTATGAATACAGAAGGAAATAAAGGAAGAAAAACAATGAGAGCGTGAAGCAATGCCTGAAGTTCTTATTCTTCCAGTTATTTGACTTTTCCAATCTTGAAACTCAATTTCGCTGACTGTATATTTGCGTGTGTGTGTGGGTGTGTGTGTGTGTATGTGAAAAGTATGCGTATGGCATTAAGCTATCACGTTAAAGAGACTTGCACACACACTCACACATAAGTATATAAATATATATATACGCAAATGGCTGAATGCCAAGGATGATGCCGTTGTGGACGACTATGCGAGATTGGCAGACAGAGTCAGTCCTGGACTGAATGTTGTTCTGCTGTGTATGTGTGTGTGTGTGTGTGTGTGAGTGTGAGTGTGACATGTCTGTTTGTTTGTTTATTCCGCTGTTTTTACAAGCATTAAAATGCGCACACACTCAAAGAAAGCGATTGCGCGCTTAAGGGCAGCTTCTGCTTAAAGTTCAAAGTATGTAGTTGTGCTGGTCATGGAAAAAATAAGAAAACGAAAACAAAAAACAGTTGCCAACAGCGTGTATTAAAAATCAATATAAAATACAAATGTATCTTGTTGTGGCTCCGTGTAAAACATCATCAAATGCGAAATGGGTGGCCCATAAGATCGGCTTCACGTGACATGCTGGCCCGTGTGCGTGCCCGTGTTCTATGCGTGTGTGTTGAGAATCAAAATGCGAAACAGCTTTAATAGCAACACATTAAATAGGCTCGGAAAATATTAAGTATACGTCGCAATATGAATGCCTAATAAAGCAATCGATATGGCGAAGCAATGCAGAGTATGCATTTGAGGAATGATATGGAAATCAGTTTATCGGCTGATCAGTGTCAGCTTTAGAAAGAAAGAGCGAATTCTATTTATTTTTATATATTTTGTTTTTGTATTATTGTATTTAACCTTGATGTTGGATGATAAGATTTTGTAGTAATGGCTAACAAACTAAAGAACAGAAGCCTGAAACAACTAGTTATTAATCATGAAACGACTAAGGTGATGTTAAAAAAAATATATCTTGTTAAATTTCGAAGCAAATCAAAGTCGAAGCATGAGATCAAGACTAACAAAAATTCGTATTAGATGCAATCCTAACAGTAAGTTACAAACTTATTTATATGAACTTTATACCAACAAATCTTATTTGAATTATTGAATTTTTCGATATTAATTCTTATTCAAATAAATATTCAAATAAATACACTCCCTTATAGATTTTGAAATACTGTGTACGCACATTCTACACCTGACACAGTCTTTTTACGAAAAAAATGTGTAAGCTATGTATAAACCAAAGGAGCATTAGAAATATAGAACTGCCTTAGCAGGCTTCATACTTTCCATCCTGCGTATGGCGTGAATTACAATTTGAATTAAAAAATGAAACATTTCAACAAAAAGTTGAAAAGCGTTACAATGTAAATGATAATATAATATCTCACGGTCCAGCTACCAGGAGTTTCTGCAAAAGAGAGACTGTTGAAAAGTTGCAGCCGATAACTGAGCTGGCCAGTCGTATATGCCGAATAGCACATTGTGTCATGCTGTCCGTTGTAGATGAGATGGGTAATGCCAAGCCAGTCTAGGCAGACTAATGCCTAGAAGTCCACAAGCTAAGCTTAAAAATTCGTCGTCTTAGTCGCTTATTTGCCGACGTCCTTGTCGTTTTATTTTGCCTTTTTTGTCGCCTGCTGCTTATGCGGCGCCATCGCTTCTACTGTTCCTTTGTCCCTCCCCGGTATAGACCTCTCAATTGCTCTCTAGATTGCCTGGCTCAAGTTGGCTTTGCGTTTATGTGTCTGTATCTAAAACTGTGTATGTGAGACTGTGTGTGTGTATGTGTGTGGGAGTGTGTGTGAGAGTGTGCATGTGTGGGAGAACACACCGTCTGTTGTTTAACGACTGGCCCATGTTCAACTGAACAATTCAATTTGTTTAATCCAGTAGCGCGAGCGCCATGGCGTATGCAACGCTGCGCATGTTAATGGGCTACACACACAGACACACACACACACAAGCGCACAGATAATGCTGACACTAACAGCATGCACACATTCACCCACACACTCACCCACACACTCACCCACACACTCACACACACAAACATAAATACATACAGACGATACTCGTATATCTAGCAAACTATTGGCCATTTAAACAAGGTGTGCGCTATGAGTTGCGCAAGCTTTTCACGCGTGTTGCTGTTGTTGTTGTTGTTGCTGTTTCACCTGCCATTTATGCTGCTGCCACGGTCATTGTTGTTGTTGTTGTTGTTGCTGTTGCTGCGATTGTATATGCATGTAAGCGTGAATTTCAGTCGAAAAACGACGCGTATTACACATTTCCATTTGCTTTATTTCCACCTTACCATCCAATTTTGCTTTCTGGGCGTCTAACCAAACAACAACACCAACAACAAGGATAACGACAGTGCCAACAACAAAAACAAAAACAAGTGCAAGAGGAACAGCAAAACAGAAATGGCTTGCCTGCTCGCTGCGGTCGTCGCTGTCCGTTGGTCGTGTTTATTTAATTCGCGTAAATTTTTATTAATTTTAATTGAAAGCTTTACGAGCGCGTTTAGCAGCCCGCACCTTTGTTTATGCTCTACTTCTTTCTACTTTCTACTTTCCTCTTTCGCTTTCGTTTTATTTTTTAACTGTTTTGCGTTTGGTATGCCTTTGTTCCTATCAGTCGACTTGAACGCCTCTCATTGCCATTGTTTTTTTTTGTTCGTGGCAGGAAATTTATTTCGGATGCCGTTTTGTTTGCGATGGTATGGCATGTTTTATGGTACACATACACGCTGTGAAAAATAATAGATAGAAGCTATGGGTGGGTAGCTATACAGGTAGGACGAAACACATAAATGACATACAATATGAAGTAACAGATGCAGAGGTGGAAAGATAGATATATAATGGATAGAAATATAGATAAATAGATAGATATATAGATAGTTAGATAGATAGATAGATAGATAGATAGATAGATAGATAGATAGATAGATAGATAGATAGATAGATAGATAGATAGATAGATAGATAGATAGATAGATAGATAGATAGATGGATAGATAGATATAAAAATAACTGGATAAAGAGTAGATAGGAACATAATAAAAAATATATAATTAAAATAAAAAAATAAAAAAAATAAATAAATCAATGGGGGGTATAAAGATTGATAAAAAATAAAAAGAATGAATATATACACAAAATTGAAGATGCTGATATATTCATAGATACTTAACTTTTGACACTCATTCTTAGAACATATTTAGGTACAAAACTATTGATTTTATTTTTTTAGTATCAATGTATTGTTATATTTTGAATTTAATCGAATTTGTCTACAAATGATAAAAGAGCTTCCAATAATATGATCAAGTATAAAACAATTTGTATCATTTCCCTTTATACATTTATACTTCTTTCGACTTTTTGGACCGTAGTTTGTTATTTAGA